GGGGTCTGCGCTGTATAGGGGGGTCTGCGCTATATAAGGGGGTCTGCGCCGTATATGGGGGTCTGCGCTGTATGGGGAGGTCTGCGTAGTATATGGGGGGCTGCGCAGTATATTGGGGGGTCTGTGAAATGTATTGGGGTGGCCTGTGTGTTAAATGTGGGGGGCAGTGTGTTAGATGGAGGGGCTGTTTGTTACATGTGGGGGGGCAGTGTATTATATTTGGGGGCTCTGCGTTAGATGGTGAGCTGTACAGTACGTGTGGCCTGTGTGTTAGATGTGTACAACCCTAGTTTCACAGAAAAATATTTATTTCCTAGATATCATATGCCAAAGCATGCTTTTTGCTATGAAACCGCAGCCATCTAGTTACTCGCCAGAGAAGGATGAGAAACTGCACCCCAGCGAGAGGGACAGCCCCACATCTGCAACCAAATCCGTCGGTCACCGAATTCAGTAATCTCTGTCTCTTTGTGCATTGTGTATGTATGGTACTCCCAATTCTTATATTTAATCCGGTGTGTCTCCCACAATCTTTGTGTCTGTCTGCTGTATGTATGTGGCACGCAAGTCTGCATGCACTGTGTCTGTTATGCCAGTTACTCTAACCAGTTTATTTATTTTTGTGTGTGTCACAGCTCTGACAAGCATGTTCTCCTATGGGACACGAAGTACATGAAGAGGAATGAAGAAGCCCATGTTTGATGCTCGTCTCCAGGGTGGAGTATTGAATTTATAACTAATGAAGTGGCATCTGACACATGACAAGCTGCTCCTGTTTGCACAGCAACTTCAACATTGTGTACTGTGATCACGGCATAGTTCAGAGGTAGGTAACCTTGGGCAGTCCAGATGCTGTGAATTACATCTCCCATAATGCTGGCAAACCATTATGGGAGATGTAGTGCAAAACATCTGGAATACCAAATGCGGATGAATGCAAAGTATGGTGTGTGTGAATGGTCAGTAACAAGGGTTGAAGCCTTGACGTGGCGTTACTGCTCACATGTGTATTCATGTGCCAATTCAACCAATGTGAGTCACTGTACTACTTATAAGGTAACCAAAAGTACTGTGATTGTGGAGAATGAAACACCTGTATCACCTACACACCGTTTACACAGTGACCGTATCCCATAAACACTGCTCACACTGTGACCGTATCTCCTACACACTGCTTACACTGTGACCGTATCTCCTAAACACTGCTTACACTGTGACCGTATTTCCTAAACACTGCTCATACTGTGTCCGTATCTCCTAAACACTGCTTACACTGTGACCGTATCTCCTAAACACTGCTTACCCTGTGACCGTATCTCCTAAACACTGCTCATACTGTGACTGTATCTCAGTATATACACTGCTCACACTGTGACCCTATCGCCTAAACACTGCTTACACTGTAAGCACAGACATGCTTTTAATCAAAATTGAAAGCGCTAGATCATTCTTTCTATTCTACGCCTCCAATCTTCAACATTGAAATTGTCATTTCTAATAATATAAAATAAGCAATATGCTTTCTGGTTACGATTTGGTGGGTTGTAAATATTTTTTTTATTTTTACAGTTCCAGAGGGAAGTAGCAAACCGCTTTGATGAGTCCCTGCATAAGAGACTATTGGATACTGAAGGGCTGTACTGCAGTGTCGGCTCTAGACTTGGCGAGGCCTTAGGCGAAACTCATACATGAGACCCCACGGAGAACACCATTATTGAAGAAAAAATAGCAGTTGACTTTGTGTATAAGAAGCTGTAGATATATTGATGGTGGAGCTCAGTGGTGTATCCTGGTTTTGTGCTGACCTAGGCAGGACAAAACTCAGGCGCCCCCCTCCCCCGCCCCGCATTCTAAATACACACACATTCACTGACAGATATGCATACATTAGCTAACACAAACTGACACACTCACTAACAGACACAGTCAGACACACACACACACTAACAGACACACTCAAATTTTTTTTTTAATTTACACCCCCAGCCTCCTTACCTTTGCTAATGCTGGGGGGGTTCTCTATCTCCCTGGAGTCTAGTGGGGCTGCCGGTCGGGTTGCTGGGGCGGCAGACGGGCAGCTGGCGAGGGAGCACTTCCTCTGAGTTGTCTGCTTAGCTCCCTCACGCGCTGCATTGTGAGGCTGGGAGCCGGAATATGACGTCATGTTCCGGCTACCAGCCTCACTCTGTGGCGCGCGAGGGAGCTGAGCAGACAGCTCAGAGGAAGTGCTCCCTCGCCATGCCGCCCGCCAGCCCAGCATGTCAGTTAGCCACAAGGCTAACAAGGCATTTGCCCTGGGCATTTGGGGGCGGCAAAAAAAGCCACCCCCAAATGCCCAGGGCAAATGCCTTGTTTGCCTCGTGGCTAAAACGTCCCTGGTGGAGCTTGCAGCACTGGATACACAGAGCTAGTCTCTGTTTACATCATTGCATTGTCTACCTGAGTGTGTGTATCTGACAGTGAGTATCCTTGTACACAGGCCACACGTACTGTACAGCTCACCATCTAACGCAGAGCCCCCAAATATAATACACTGCCCCCCCACATGTAACAAACAGCCCCTCCATCTAACACACTGCCCCCCACATTTAACACACAGGCCACCCCAATACATTTCACAGACCCCCCAATATACTGCGCAGCCCCCCCATATACTACGCAGACCCTCCCCCATACAGCAACCCCTCCCCCTTATGCAAAGAGACCCCCATACAGCAGACCCCCCTATAGAGCGCAGGATCCCCATACCACAGAACCCACCATACAGTGCAGAAATCTCATACAAAAACCCCCTATACACAGAGACCCCCCTAGTAGAGCTGCTATAGACTTCATATATAGTGTGCAGACCCCCATACAGTGCAGACCCCCTCTATACAGCGAGACCCCCATATGCAGACCCCCATAGAGCCAGGACCCCTCATATATAGCTATGACCCCCATATATAGTGCAGACCCCTTATGAGCCGAGACCCCATATAGCAGACCCCCCATACAGCGCAGACCCCCATATATAGTGCAGACCCCCATATAATAATGTACTAAAACCCCCCCACTCCCCAATATAATGCACTGAAATCCCCCTAATATAGAACCCCCTCCCCTCGGATGGCTGAGAGTGTTGGGAGCAGGGAGAGGCTTTACTCAGACGATCAGAGTCCGCGCATGCGCAGTATAAGGGTAGGGAGATTTCACAGGGTTTAATGGCCATCAGATTTCCCTACCCCTATACTGCGCATGCGCGGTGTGTGAAGCGCTCCATGTCCCCAAGTGCGCACGCGCGCTGTACCTCCGACGGGAGTACTTTGGCGCGCGTGCGCACTATGCCTTTTGTCGACTACTCGCTGTGCAAAGTCCCTACCTGGGTGGTGTGCGGCTGCGCGGTGGCGCACACCCCCGTCCCAACGTCACTTCCGGTGCGTCTTCGTCACCGGAAGTGACGCGAGTAGGGTTTTCTAACGGGGTAGGGAAATTTGACAGAACAGACGCGCGAAATCAGCTGTTTCAGGTTCTACGCATGCGCACAGGTCCAGGGAAATGAAACAGAGTCGTGGAACGCATGTTGGAACGCACAGTGGACCACATGCTGGAACGCACGTTGGAACGCAAGATACTGCATGTGAGCAGGTCGGACACAGTGAGAGGGTTTGTTCTCATGGAATCTGGGGCAGGATATTGATAGAAAGTAACTTTTATTAATTAATGTAAATCAAACAATGTTTAATACAGGAAGCTGAGCTTTGTGTGGAGATAACTCTAATTTAATGGATGTTTATCTCAGGGCTGGGCACCATTCACAGGGTTATTATTATTATTTTATTATTTATATAGCGCCATCAGACTCCGTACATTCACAGGGTTATTATTATTATTATTATTTTATTATTTATATAGCGCCATCAGACTCCGTACATTCACAGGGTTATTATTATTATTATTATTTTATTTATATAACGCCGTCAGATTCCGTGCATTTGCAGGGTTATTATTATTATTTTATTATTTATATAGCGCCATCGGATTCCGTACATTCACAGGGTTATTATTATTATTATTATTATTTATATAGAGCCATCAGATTCCGTACATTCACAGGGTTATTATTTTATTATTTATATAACGCCGTCAGATTCCGTGCATTCGCAGGGTTATTATTATTATTTATATAGCGCCATCGGATTCCGTACATTCACAGGGTTATTATTATTATTTTATTATTTATATAGCGCCATCAGACTCTGTGCATTCACAGGGTTATTATTATTATTATTATTTTATTATTTATATAGAGCCATCAGATTCCGTACATTCACAGGGTTATTATTATTTTATTATTTATATAGCGCCATCATATTCCATGCATTCACAGGGTTATTATTATTATTATTATTATTATTTATATAGCGCCATCGGATTCCGTACATTCACAGGGTTATTATTATTATTTTTTTATTTATATAGCGCCATCAGACTCCGTACATTCACAGGGTTAATATTATTATTTTATTATTTTTATAAAGCGCCATCAGACTCCGTACATTCACAGGGTTATTATTATTATTTTATTATTTAAATAGTGCCATCAGATTCCGTAGCGCTGTACTATGGGGTTATTCACTGAGGGTAGAATTGTCCCCAATACAAAGTGAACCAGCCAGAGAGAAACACTCCAAAGAAAGAGGACTTTAGAATGTTTGCAGGGCCTTTTATAACTTGGACTGACAGTTGATTGGCTATGTTATGTGATGCCAATGCTCTGTTTTTTGTTTTTCTTCAATTTGCATTTGTTTATTGTATTCTTTGCTTCTAATTAAATCACAGAAAAAGAAATGCATAATAGGAACCTCTTTGTCCTATCAAATTCTAAATTAAACATTCTGTGCAATAAAAGAAGTTTAAACATTAGATCTCTCTTTACAGGAAGTGTGTAGGAAGAATGTGTCAAATGCAAGGAGGTGTGGTTAGGAGCTTCATAAACAAAGTGACTTAACTCATAAATGGCAGATAGCTGAGCAGTGAGACGGCAATGACGCCTTTTCATCGTAACTCTATTAGTTTCCCCTTCTCTTCATTAGTTTTTATCGCCTAATATTATTATCCACTGTGTCACTTTTACTTCCAGGAATATTTGATGTTGACTGCGAGTGTTGAGTGTGAGTGTTGCTGTATGTAAAGTTATTCCCTTTTATTTGAAGAATAGTTTTCAGTTTTTCACTATGTATAAATGTATTAATCTGATTTATTAATAATAAAGCTTAGTGTTTGTGTCAAACAGTTAATTAAATTATAATTGGGCATAAGGATGTATCTGCTCTTAAAATTATATGGTGGGGTTAAATGTATTGATGTGGGTTGAGCTTACAAAGCCGCCCATGGTGGAGGCAGAATTGAGAAGGATATAAAGGTGCAGCTGGCAGGAAATGGCAGGTGTAAATGTTCATACAGTAAAAATGTACGTTGTTTTTCCCATTCCTTTAAACACGCTAACAGTTAACTGCTTCTCTGTGTTTGTTTGTTTTTAATGATGTGAACTTTGCTTTGCTGTGTAGAGCAGATCGCTTTCTGTACTCGTTCTTTGGGTTGTGCAAGTAAGTTCCAATTTATGTGACAGGCATTGTGTGTCCTGATGATGAATTTTAGAAATGAATGAAATGATGAATTTTAGAAAATTAGACTATCAGCTTGAATGAAGAGACACTCGTATATTAAGTGTAAAAATAAAGTGAGTGGATTTGTATGTTCTTCTCTTTAATGCAGAATGGGTCGTCCAGCATCAAAAAAGACTAAAAAGAAGACTGTGAAAAAAGAAGAAAAATCAAAGGCTTGCGAAGGTGCAGTGTGTCCACCGGACTGGGTGACAGAAGGGAGAATGGCTTATTCAGTAAACTGGACATTGCAGAATAGAGTTTGATTATTCACATTCTAGTCAATGAAAGTAGTTCAGTAGGATAATTAGAATGAAATCTCCTGTTTAAAGGGTTAGTTTCATGTCTTGCTTTATACTGTGTGTGCTTTATACATTGCCTGTGTTATATGGGGGGAGTGCTAGCACCTTTCTGTATGTAGAACATTACATCCTCAGTGACTGCTTACACAGATAACAGGATTACTGTACTATTGCCAAATACATCACTTGGACTAAAAGGAACCCCCTAAAAGGAAGACTTAAAACAACACTAATGATTTAAAATATTTTATTAATAATGTTAGTGTTCCTCTCCTAGTTTACATTATTGGGCCCCTTGAAAAAGCAGACACATTTAAACTCCCCTTTTGTCCAGTACCATCCCTGTCTTGCAGATTAGCCATCCCTGCCATGGGACATACTGATGAGTTCAGTGCTGAGGGATTTGTTTGCCTGTTGTTTTCTCTGTGCAGACATCTTGCCCCCGTCCTCGCTGTATCACTCCTTTACAACGCAGGAGACCGTGGAACTCAGGAAGTGTCTGCTTACATGGTATGATAAATGCAAGAGAAACCTGCCTTGGAGATCTCTGGTAAGAACATGGATATGAAACATATTACAATACTGTACCGCCCAGTAGGACAAACCGCTTTACTATCTATGATATTATTATTATTATTATTATTATTATTATTATCCATTTGTGTTTTATTATGAGCGCTTTTCCTGCTGATTTGTCCAGTGAAGTATTGATGTTTCTCCTAAAAAGTTTGTTTACTTGCAATATTTTTCTTGTGTTTAAACATTACTGAATGTTTATTGTATTCTAACAATTCATTGTTTTATGTTATTAGATATTTATATATACACTTATATATATTCCCAAATTGCTGTACCTTTTTATTTCTGTGGGGCTCTGCGACACACTCATACATTATATATTAGTGTGAGTTTTATTGCTGTGGAGCTCTGTCATACATTTTCACGTTATCATACGTTTTATTGCTGTGGAGCTTTTTGATAGTCATACACAGTGTATATTCCTGTCAATTTTATTGCTGCGGATATCTATGATACATACATACATACTGCACGTTATTGTGAGTTTTATTGCTGTGGAGCTCTGTGATACATTTTCACATTACCGTACGTTTTATTGCTGTGGAGCTTTTTGATACAGTCATACACAGTGTATATTCCTGTCAATTTTATTGCTGCGGATATCTATGATACACACATATATACTGCACGTTATTGTGAGTTTTATTGCTGTGGAGCTTTGCGAAACACTCATACACTATACATTATTGTGAGTCTTATTGCTGTGGAGCTTTGTTATACACTATATATGATTGTGAGTTTTATTAGTGTGGATATGTATGATACACTTATATACTCCACGTTACTGTGAGTTTTATTGCTGTGGAGCTCTGTGATGAACAGTGCTGTGGAGCTCTGATACACATAAATACCTCTTAAAGGGACTCTCCAGTGCCAGGAAAACAAACCCGTTTTCCTGGCACTGCAGAATCCTGCAGTCCCACCCTCCCTCCCGCCCTCCATCCCATGTTGCTGATGGGGTTAAAACCCCTTCAGTGACTTTCCTAAATCCACCGATGTCCCTCGGCGCTGGGTCAGGCTCCGCCCACGCAATGGCCGCGCACGCATTAGACCTCTCCATAGGAAAGCATTATTCAATGCTTTCCTATGGGGATTCCGGCAACGCTGGAGATCCTAATTCATAGCGTGAGTACGTCCGGTGTTATTTAAAACAATTTTCTTGTTTTAAGAAGCCGGATTTCCCTCTAGTGGCTGTCTGATAGACAGCCACTAGACGAGGACTTAACCCTGCAAGGTAATTATTGCAGTTTATAAAAACTGCAATAATTACACTTGCAGGGTTAAGGGTGGTGGGAGTTGGCACCCAGACCACTCCAATGGGCAGAAGTGGTCTGGGTGCCTGGAGTGTCCCTTTAATTTGTTTTTTGAAATAAATATTAATGTATTTTGAATTGTATTAATTTGCACACTAACAATAAATAACTATGCTAATCTATTAAGTGCTGTGAATAAGATAGCTGTGTAAGATTTTTTTTTTTAAATAAAAGAGAATATTCCTTTTATTTTAGGCAAATACTGAGTTGGACTTGGACCGCAGGGCTTACGCAGGTGAGACATCTTGTGGTATCGATGAAGAATTGCATCCATGTTTGATAACAACATAAGAGGGATTTTACACTATAGTAAATTAACATCAGGCAGTGAGTTCTAGTCAATTGTCAGTGGAATAGTATGATTTAAACTAAAATGTACAACTTTGAGTTCCTGACTAATTTTGCACATTACGAAGTTTCATGTACCCTTCATGGTACACACAGCAAACACATAAGCTTCATATATACATTGTTTGTGCAGTATTTTGTAGATTTACTTTAAAAACTATGAAGTCCCCCTTCACTAGTAGCTACAGCACTCACTCATTAAGGGGTATAGGAATGGATTGTCAGATATTACAGATGCACAGGCAGTTCATTCAGTATGTTGGCATTGCCCTGCTTGATTAGTGTCAGAGAGAGGCTTGCCCAAGAACAGACTGGGTCATGGTGCAACATTATAGAATGTGACGGCAGATAAGAACCATTCGGCCCATCTAGTCTGCCCAATTTTCTAAATACTTTCATTACTCCCTGGCCTTATCTTATAGTTAGGATAGCCTTATGCCTATCCCACGCATGCTTAAACTCCTTTACTGTGTTAACCTCTACCACTTCAGCTGGAAGGCTATTCCATGCATCCACTACCCTCTCAGTAAAGTAATACTTCCTGATATTATTTTTAAACCTTTTGTCCCTCTAATTTAAGACTATGTCCTCTTGTTGTGGTAGTTTTTCTTCTTTTAAATATAGTCTCCTCCTTTACTGTGTTGATTCCCTTTATATATTTAAATGTTTCTATCATATCCCCCCTGTCTCGTCTTTCCTCCAAGCTATACATGTTAAGATCCTTTAACCTTTCCTGGTAAGTTTTATCCCGCAATCCATGAACCAGTTTAGTAGCCCTTCTCTGAACCCTCTCTAAGGTATCAATATCCTTCTGAAGATACGGTCTCCAGTACTGTGTACAATACTCCAAGTGAGGTCTCACCAGTGTTCTGTACAATGGCATGAGCACTTTCTACTGCTAATACCTCTCCCTATACAACCAAGCATTCTGCTAGCATTTCCTGCTGCTCTATTACATTGTCTGCCTACCTTTAAGTCATCAGAAATAATCACCCCTAAATCCCTTCCCTCATATGTTGAGGTTAGAACTCTATCAAATATTCTGTACTTTGCCCTTGGGTTTTTACGTCCAAGATGCATTATCTTGCACTTATCCACATTAAATGTCAGTTGCCACAATTCTGACCATTTTTCTAGTTTACCTAAATCATTTGTCATTTGGCTTATCCCTCCTGGAACATCAACCCTGTTACATATCTTATTGTGGGTGAAACAAAGCCAATGGTAATGTCTGCATTGATGGGTAGAAGGTTGTGGTTGTGCATCTCTCTCTCTATTCCGATCACCGATGGCAGATCTCGCTACCTCCCTCTGTGCTCTGTATGAGCTTCCTCGGTGCGTTGTATTTTAATTCTCTACCCCTTCCGCCAAGGGTTCAGGACAGCACCAGTCCTTGCCACTTCAACCACCTTTCCAAGTAACACCAGGTGCAGCAACACACCAGATCAGTGTACCTCTTTGTCATCCATAACCTGTACCCCCTGTCCGCCCGGTCCCTACCCCCTATACATTCCCAGATTTAGCTAAAATTCCTGTCCGTTCCCTGTAAAGCATTTCATAGCAGCCTAACTGTACAGTATATCATCACTAATAATTAATCTCTTTCAAAACCTCTCCAGGGCTGTTCTTTCTTTCGTAAATCCCTTCCCCAGGTTTTCTGAGCCAGGATGTTCTCTTAGTAACCTTGTGATATCAGATGAATCCCAGTCACCTCTTCAATAACTGTCACGCAATGCACAGTGTCTTAAAGCCAGAAATCATTATTGACCTGTTACTGATGCTTTATTGAAATGTAAGCCTTAGGAATTTTTGT